CTCCCGCTCTGAAGGCTTCCCCCAGAGACTCCTCACAGCCGGGAGCCAGGGCCTCCCTGGGATGCCCTATTCCACACTGGGGCACGTGCAGCCAGGGCGGCCACTCAGTGAGGGACACACGGTGGAAGGCAGTGTGGTTTCGAGACACATCCATGTACACACACACACAGGCACACATGCTCAGGCACATGCATGCATGTACACACGTCCATGTGGGTGCACACCCAGGAATCACACACACACACAAGCATGCACAGGGACTTGAAGAGAGAGTTCAAATCTCGGTCCAAACACACACTAGCCATGTGACTGCAGTTTCTACAGGTTTTCTGAGCCTCCAATTCCTCATCTGCAAGGTTGGGCAACGTACCTGCCCCTCGAGGCTGGAGATGACAGAATGTAATTCTTGTGGCTGCCTCCTTTCAAGCCCAGCCCAGCTGACCGTCAGGAGCCCTCCCCAACCCCACACTGCCAGGGCGAACACAAGAGGTGTCTGCTAATTGTCTAGGTGTCCAATTATTTCCCTAAAGGACCAAGGAGAGAGGAGCCCAGATGCAACGGAGACCCACACAGACTCCTGCCTGGTCAGCCACTTCCAACCGCAGAGGCACGTCCTCCTGTGCACAACCCACCCCTCACCATTGCGGCTCATAGACTGAACAGTCTGAGTATGTGCTCAGTACACGCACATACTGAGCACCTACTGAATACCAGGCCCTGTCTCAAGCCATTGGGAGGAAGCCGAGCTCACACGCAGCCCCTGCCCTCTAGAAGAAGTGACAGGGTCAGGAGAAGAGGCAGTAAAGTTGAATATAAACCATGTTTCAGGGCACCGCTGGATGCCTACAGCATGGGAGATAGAACAGAGGCTCCGGATTGAGGGAGCAAGGATTCCAGGATCCAATGAGTTGTCTAAGCTCCCAGGCCCCCTGCTTTGTTATATTGGGGGAAAATGAAATGAGGGACCCTGCAGACTCTTACTAGGGCAAACAGCGAGGTGGCCAGGGACGCCCTTCCCAGCTGCGCTGGACCCAGCAGCAGTCAGTGGGGAGAAAGATCCTCCTTTCATGCCAGACCACCGATTTCCAGCTGGGCACACTGAGACCAGGAGAGGTGAGGAGCAAGGTCAAGTGCCCTCAACCTCTCTTCCAGTCCCCTTTGAGCTCCTGAAGTTATCCTTGGAGAAGGGAAGTCCCCACTTCCTCACCCTCAGCTCCAACATTGCTTACCAGGAAGTTCTTCCTCAGCCCCGCTCAGCCCCTCCAGCTGGGATGTCCCTGAGAGCTTCTCTGACAGCCACGGTCTGACTGGGCTCCAGGTGGCAGGACCCTGGCACTCGGGCTGGTAGAGCCATCCCAAGAGTCCGTGGGCTCTGCCACACTCACGCTTCACTCCCTGTTCTTTCAGCCACGCAGCCAGAGACCACGCACATCCGCCCACTGCCTCATGCAACATTTAGTGAGCGTCGACGCTAAGTCAGCTTTCAGGCTGCGAACTAGAGAGAGAGGAATGACCCAGCCTTGTTTACTCCATGATGAAAGAAAACCTCTTCTGCCAGACTCCTGGGAGCTCACAGAGCTTATGGTCACATCACTCTCCTTATTGCAAGGTCCCCTCCCCTCCCCATTCGGTAGCCCCATCGCCACTGCAAGAGCTCCCTATTGCCATGTCAATAGTCCCCTCCCCCACTGTAGTCATCCCCTCCCCCACGGCAGTAGTCCCCTCCCCCACAACAGTAGCCCCTCCCCTGCTGCAATATGCCCTTCCCCACTGCAGTCAGCCACTCTTCTTTGCAGTAATCCTTTTGAATGGAGTTTCTCCTTCCTAGGCCCAGATTCCGGTTTTATTGGTGAAGCTGCAGTCCTCTCCAGGGAGGTGGCCTGCGGGAAAGGAGGAACTGGCCGTGGGCAGTGTCGAGGTGGGGAGGGTGGTCCAGGCAGAGTGAGGTGGGCGCTGTGTGCAAATGGAAACAGGGAAGGGGAGTGGGGGTGTGAGGGCAGAGCAACAGAAGCCAGGAGGCCTGGGGGTCACAGAGGCAGGGGGCGTGCAGAGGAATTTCAACCAGAGTCAGCTTCGCCCTGGGTGGCAGTGGGGACGCCACCACTGGGGGCTGTGGCACCGCCCAGGCAGGAGCAGGAGAGGCGTGGGCCAGGGCAGCAGTGGCGGTCCTAGGACTCACTGCGAAGTAGAGACAGGAGTGGGGAGGGGTGGAGGAGGTGTAAATAATGACTACATTTTTTAAGTGAAAAGAGAAAGACTGGCAGAGGAAAAAGGTATCTTGTCACAGACTGGATAGGCAGAGTTCTGCTGCTGTAACAAAAACTACAAGTGAAATTCAGCTGCTCCATGGATCACTTGGTCGTTGCTACAATGTGGCTGTCTGACAAGCCACTCCGAAACGCAGCGGCTGGCGACAAGGGCCAGTTCCTCAATCTCAGCCAGGATCTGGCTGTGGGTCATCTGGGCCTCCCCGGGAATCCACATTCTCTGGAAGGGCTGTGCCTGGGGCACGTTCTCCCCAGGCAGGTGACAGGAGCCCCAGAGGGCAGGACACGACCAGCCCCAGGAGCACAGCTGAGACCTAAAACCTCTGCCTGCGCAGCGGCTGCCAAAACGTCCTTGGCCAAAGTGGGTCGCATGGCTAAGCCCGGCCTCGGTGGTTTGGGGAACACATCCCAGGTACTCGTGTGCACCGGACACTCACCAGCGGAGGGACACACTGAAAACAGAATGCAGAGAAGAGGAGGAGAATGCAGGGAAAGAGGCAGGGGCAGAAGGAAACCCGTGAGCAGGAAGGTCCCGGGAGCCCAGGACAGAAGGGACAAAGGGCCAAGCGTGAGAAAAGCGAAGAAGAGGAAACAGAGGAGGAAGACAGAGGGCCGGTCCCTTGCTGTGGCCAGGGGCAGGTGGGTGGCCAAGGTGCAGCCTCAGCAGTGGCAGGAGGAGAGGCAGGGGGGTGGGGGCAGCCAGCTCTTCGGAGGACGCTTGCTGCAAAAGGGAGCAGAGAAATAGGGCCACAGTCCACAGGGGCATGGGGTCACGGAGGCCTCCTACGCCTGGAGAGGAGGATGAATGCTGTTGGGAGTGACCCAGAGAGGGGCCAGACCTGGAGAGACCGGAGAGGAGAGATGATTGCAGAAGCCACAGGTGGAGCTGGGGCTGGGGGCAGAGCCCGGAGAGGTGGGAGCAGAGTGGAGCCGGCCGAGCCCGAAGCGGAGCAGGAGGCGGGGACCCTGCTGTCCGTCCTACGCACACACCACTCCCTGCTTCAAAGCAAACCACCATGGCACGTGCCTACCTAGGTAACAAACCTGCACGTCTGCACGTGGACCCTGGAACTTCAAAAAGAAGTCGAAGAGGAAAAAAAAACTGTTATGCCCGCAGGAGGAGTCATGTCTGGGTCACAGCATCCAGTACTCCACTAAGAGGCAACATTATCCAGGAGGGAAAATGAGCCGCTTTCAACCTCCTGAAAACCCTTGGTTGGTAATAAATCCTGCAAATGAGCCAGCTGCTCTGCTGGGCTGAGAAGCGAGGAGAGGGAGCTGGCTTGGGTGGTCTGTTTCCATTCGGTGTCATCCCATCGCCTCCACATTCTCCCCAGCTTCCCACGTCCCCTCCCCGTGTGGTTCCAGGCTGGATTCGGCTCTGGGCAGCCGTCAGTCTCCGGCGGTTCCCAGGCGTTCCCTGGGAATGGCTCACGGGGCGCTGCAGGCTGCCAGGGGCATCTTTGGGGCTCCCTTGTCATCTCTGCATTTCTGGGTGGCCTTCACCGCTCCTTTCCAATGTCCGTGCAAGCCTTGAATTTCCTGGATGAAGTCAATCTCTCTCCCTTGCGCTCTTGCTCGCTCTCTGTCTCTCCTCTAAATGCTGAGTGTGGCTCCTGTCCTTCTGCCCAGACCTGTGTGGATAGGAGCAGTGATAAAGTGAGAGGGAAGGGGGGCTCCGGGGCTCCTGGGGAGAAACCCTGAAGGACATCGCTTGCCTGTGGGCGCACACCCCCTAAGGTGTCAGGAAAGGGATGGGATGGACAGAGAGGCACCGTGGCAGCCTCCGCCCGGGGTCGGTGCTGCACACTGAATGTCTGTGTCCCCCACAAATTCATGTGCTGAAACGCTCACCCCCAAGGTGATGAGGTGATGGTGTTGGGAGGTGGGGCATTTGCGAGGTGATGGATTAGACCATGAGGGGGGAGCCCTCATGATGGGATTAGTGTCCTGATAAGAGACTCCAGAGAGCTTGCTCCCTCCCTCTCTCTGTCTCTCTCCCTTCCTCCCCACCTCCCTCCCTCTCTCTCTCCCCTCCACCTGCCCCATTTGAGGATACAGCAACAAGTGGCCATCTGCAAGCCCTCACCAGACACCAAACCTGCCAGCACCTTGATCTTGGATCTCCAGCCTCCAGGACTGCGCGAAGCAATGCTTGCCATTTGAGTCCCCGGGCTGTAATCATTTACAGCATCCCCAACTAAGACGATCAAAGCCCGTCTACAGCAGTTTCCGATGGTCATGAGGCCAAGCAGCCGAAGACTACCTTTCCCAATATTCCTCACAGTGATTTGCTGCCATGTGACTAGATTCTGGTCCCAAGCCAAGCTGAGCGGGGTGCTGTGAGCAGCATCTAGGCCCTGTCCCTAAAGCGGGAGGCACAAGTTCTACCTTTCTTCTTCCTGCTTGCCACCTGCTGGAGTGCAGAAATGATGACCAGAGCCAGAGCAGCCACATTGGACTCAAAGACAGAAGCCACCTGTTGGGCACAGCAGGGCCTCAAGAGAAAAGACGCTGGCTCCTTGCCACTGTGGAGTTGCCATCTCAGCCCCGGGTTGCCTGTGTTTGGACCGCTGTTACATGCATGAGAAATAAGCTTCTATGTCATCTTGACCACTTGAAACTCCTTCTTGGTTACCGCGGCTGGAGTGCGTATTTTAACTCATACAGAGATGCCTCATCCACTCCGGATGGCTTATGTTTAAATGTTCTTTGCAGAGACATGAACTGTAATCATTCTATGATTTTTAAAAATGTATTGTCCCTTGGTAGTGCTGCTGCAAATTTCTGTTTCAGAAGGGAAAATAGCACATTATTGTCTATAACTAGTGAAAATGTCTACTATTATGTGAGTGTATATTAGTGACGGTAATGCCAACCGTTCTAATAGAGCAAACCCAAAAATATACAATGGCCCAGCACAACCCTGCTTTGTATTTTGCTTGAATAAAGTCCAACTGGGTGTTTCTGATGAGCTGGTGGGTCTCCTTCAAGCTCGGTTCAGGGCAATCCCATTTCCCGGGCAACAGGGCCCCTTCCTGGGTCATCTCCATCCAGTCACTAGGTGGGAAAGGGAGAGACGGCAATGCCTTAGAGGGGAGGCCTAGAAGAGGCACACATCACTTCCACCCGCATTCCTCATCCATAGCTCAGTCACATGGCCCTCCTAGACATAATAGAGTCTGGAAATGTGATCCCTGCCTGAAAAGCCAATTCCCAGTAATGTCCCTGCAGCTCAGATGGAGAGCGTAGATCTTTGGTGGCTCAATAGCCATCTGTCATGACTGCGAAGAGCTCTACAGCAGTTCCAGCAATTTATGGTTAAAAGGAGCTATGTAAAAATAAAGGTACATTCACGCATGCCCACATCAAACACCATCCATGCTCTGCTGTTTACCCGAAGGAGACAAGCCAGTGACCTGCCCCAGACATAGCTCCACGCAGCTGAAGTAAGAAGCTGTCTCTTCTGCAGCAGACTCACCTGCCAGAGTCTGTTGCTGTTCCCCTCTGGGGAAGACAGGGAGTGACTGCTTCTTCTCGAATGCCACAAAAGGTTCATGTGAGGAGGGAGAAATCAGACTGTGGTTGCTACGGGTATTTTCAGGCTAGAAGGGGTTCTCCAGTTCACATAATCTCTTCATTTTCATCCTACTTCCGTCTTGTCCAGAAGAAAATTTTTTGTGTGAAAAATCAGACCTTGGCAATGACCTTGAGCAATAACTTATAAATAATTCTCACAAGCTTAGCATTCCAATAATGGAACACTAGGCATAAAGGGGTTAAACTTAACTTACAAATATAACCCAGATATAAGCTAGGGCCCCATGTGGTCCAGTCTCAGAAATAAAATTCAAAGAAGTACAATATAGCATCAAAGGTAGTGCTAAGCTGTCCTCAAATCTCTTCGGGAAAATGGTCATAGATTTAACTCTTTTTTTTTTTTTTTTTTTTTTTTTTTTTTTTTTATTTTTTTTTTTTTTTGAGACAGAGTCTCATTCTGTTGCCCAGGCTGGAGTGCAGTGGCACGATCTTGGCTCACTGCAACCTCGACATCCTGGGCTCAAGCAGTCCTCCCACCTCAGCTTCTTGAGTAGCTGGGACTGCAGGCATGTGCCACAACACCCTGCTAATTTTTCTCTTTTTTTTGGTAGAGATAAGGTCTTGCTATGTTGCCCAGGCTAGCCTCAAACTCCTGGCCTGAAGCAATCCTCCTGCCTCAGCACGGATCTAACTTATAGCCCACGGCCATACGTCTTTCCTCCCTCCCCTAATTCTCTTCTTCCTGTATCTTTCTCAGGGCATCTCACAGGGCAAGTTGCAGAAACCCTCTCTGATACCCCCATTCACCTTCTCCTCTCCCCGACTACTTCTTTTCCTCGTATTTCTTATAGAGACAGATTTAGCCTCTCAGATACTTTTTTTAATGGACTTTATATTTTTAGATCAGTTTTAGGCTCACAGCAAAATCGAGCAGAAGGTACAGAGAGTTTCCATGCACTGTCTATCCCCACACACACAGCCTCCACAACTGCCAATATCCTCCACCAAATAGTACACTTATCACAATTGACGAACCTACATTGACACACCATTATCACTGTATTAGTCCATTTTCACACTGCTGATAAAGACATACCTGAGACTGGGCAATTTACAAAAGAAAGAGGTTTATTGGACTTACAGTTCCACATGGCTGGGGAGGCCTCACAGTCATGGCAGCAGACAAAAGAAGACAGCGTGTGCAGGGGACTCCCAGTTACAAAACCATCAGACCTCATGAGACTTGTTCGCTATCAGAACAGCCAGGGAAAGATCCGTCCCCATGATTCCATTGCCTCCCACTGGGTTCCTCCCACAGCACATGGGAATTCAAGATGGGATTTGGGTGGGGACACAGCCAAACCATATCAATCACCCTAAGTCCAGAGCCCACATTAGGGCTCATGGTTGATGTTGTACAGTCTATGAGTTTTGATAAATGTTTGATGACATGGACCTGCTACGACAGTATGATACAGAGGCATTTCACTGCCCTAAAAATCCCCTGTGCTCCACCTATTCATCCCTCCTGCTCCCCAAACCATGGTGTTACTGGAAAAGGTGTCTGGATCCAGACCTCAAGGGGGGGTTCTTGGATCTCATGCAGGAAGGAATTCAAGGCAAGTCACAAGGTACGGCGAAGGAAGCATGTTTACTTAAAGCTACTCCAGGCACTTTGTGGGGCCAAGGCAGGCAGATCACAAAGTCAGGAGATTGAGGCCATCCTGGCTAACATGGTGAAACCCGTCTCTACTAAAAGTACAAAAAATTAGCCGGGTGTGGCAGCAGGTGCCTGTAGTCCCAGCTACTCAGGAGGCTGAGGCAGAAGAGTCACTTGGACCTGGGAGGCAGAGGTTGCAGTGAGCCAACATGGCGCCACTGCACTTCACACTCCAGCCTGGGTGACGGAGCAAGCCTCTGTCTCAAAAAAAAAAAAAAGGAAAAGAAAAAGCTACTCCGTTACAGAGCAGAGGACCTTCTGAGAGAATGTGCCATCTTCGTTGTAAGTTTTTCTTATGTAGGGGTCTTGTCTATGTAACCACTAAACCAAGCTACGACCCTGTGAGTGAGAGCAGACAGCGTGACAAAATTTATTACGCTATTGATTTAAAGAAAACTATCCTTGACAGTCTAATGCATGGGTACATCAAAGAGTAATTATAATTATCTTGAAAGCACATATAGTTATGGGTGTTGGGACATTGGGTGTTGCGACAACTGGGCTTTCTATTGGTTTAGGAGTTTGTCCTTGCAGGCAGTACAAGCTGCCTCCTTAGCTGTGAACGTCTTAGGACCAGGGGTCATGACTGGCAAGGAACGTGCCTTGTTAGTTTCAAGACAAGGTAGATTTTTCAGTGGTGTCACTCTGGGTCTCCTCAGCTCCTGCTTCCCTAACACTGGCAACTCCTCTTTTGTCCCCATACTTTTTCCTCTCTGGGAATGTCACAGGGTTGGAGTCACAGGGTGTGTCGCCTTTCCAGATCGGCCTCTTTCACTCTGTGATCTGCGTTTCCGGCTCCTCCATGTCTTCTCATGGATGGAAAAGTGACTTGTTTCCAGCACTGAATAGTATTCCACTGTCCAGGTGGATGTGCCACAGTTTACTTCACAGTCACCTGCCGGAGGACATCTCGGCTGCTTCCAAGTCACAGGGATCATAAATAACACTGCCGTCATCGTCCGACGCATTTTCAGGCTTCTCTCCACTTTAATCATCCTGCGGATTCCTCTTCACGCTGACATCACAAAGACAGGACCCCTGAGGGACAGAGGAGAGCAGACCAAGGCAGAATCCCCTGCAGAGGGAAGGTGGGGGAAGGCTGGGGACCTTCCCGGGGGGACAAGTCTCGTCCTGTCACCGGTGCACAAAGCTCATGGAGACTACGTCAACATCGGCCTAAGGAACGCAGCAGCACAGCTGTGAGATGGAGCCCGCTGGAGATGAATCCTTACGCGAGCTGTGTGTGTCAGGCTCCTAAGTACTTGCCAGGGAGGGTCCTCCAAACTAGCTCCAGGTCCTCAAAATTAGTGTCCGGGCAAAGAAGGCACACCTCCTGGTTGTTAAACTTCCAGGCACAGCACCCTGACTCTGGACCAGATACTCCTAAGGGCCACACAGCCTGCATGCTACCTGATTCCCCATCTACCTTCGCTGCACAGAAAGCATGAAGTGACTTATGAAGCTCGTCTGAGTTCGCACAGCTGGCAGATGACTGAGCCACGACTCACACACAGGTCCATCCACCGCCAAAGCTGGAGATCTCAGGCATCCTTCTAAGGTCTGAAAGGGAAATAAATCCCTTAACCAGGAGCCTGTGTGACGGCATTCCCACCCTCTGCTGTCCCACCCCCGCCAAGGACCCGTTCGAAGGCTGGTCACGCCAGTCACTGCAATCCACATGGAGCGCAGGGATGACAGTTCTAACAAGCATTGGCCTTCTAGCCCAACTCCGCTCTGCGGACAGCAAGACTGAGGCCAACCCCACACTGTGGAGGGAAAGGCTGAGGGGCGGAGAGGATGTTGGTTTGCTGCAGATGATCCAGACTCTAATTTCTGGGCTGACTCTAACTCATCAGGAACGTTGATTTCACCAAGTGTATGGAGTGGCTTCTCCATCCACGTGGCTTTACCCTGACCTCACACCAGTCCCACGGCCCAGGTGTGGGGCCGAGCACTCCCCTCTGCCTCCTCCTTGGATTGCAGGAACCATGTCTCGCTTTATGAAACAGGTGCCATTTGGGGAAGACTCGCATTGTCAGGAGCGCTGTGGACGCTCGGGGCCGAGATCAACATGATGATGATACCAGGGGAGGGAACATGTGCTTTTCAGGAGGTAAATCACACTCTGCAAAGAGCCTATTGATTTGTGCTTTTCCTCGGCTGGTAAAAGCCGGGGAGGCTGCCTTCGCTGTGATATTTCTGCCAGTTCTCATCCCCAGTGGGAAGAGGAATTGCCTGTGTTTGCTGAAATTGAAGCCAAAACCCAGCCGGTACAGATTGGTGGAGGGGAGCTGGGAGCAGGTGGGAGCTGGGGTGTGGGAGGGGACCCAGGCCATGGGGCAGGGAATGAGGGGAGGAGGGACCCGTAGCATGATTTGGGAAACAGCTGTCTCAGGCCACACCAGGACCGTGGAGGGTTTACTGGGAGTGGGTGGACCTACCATAGAATGAGGTCGTGAAAATCAGCTGCATGGAGGAACCGGGGGAACCAGAGGAACCGGAGCAACGGGAGGCCAGCATGTTAAGTGAAATAAGCTAAGCAGAGGAAAATGAATAGGGCATGTTCTCACTCACACAGGGGAGCTAGAAGGTGGATGGCATGGAAGTAGAGAGTGGACTGTGGGTACCAGAGACCGGGAAGGGGAATGGCGTGGGGGGGTGAAGAGAGGGCGATTGATGGGTACAAACACATGGTTCGACCAAGAAATAAGGCCTCGTGTTGGAGCAGCCCAGTGACTATGTTCACAATAATCCATCGCACATTTCAAAACAGGCAGAGAGAGTGATCTGAATGTCTCCAGCATCAAGAAGAGGCCAGTACTGAGGGTGAGGGATGCCTTATCTATGTTGATTGGATCTTTACAAATTATACAAACGTATTAAATTTGCATATACCCAGAAACTGCTTACATCTATTATGCACCAATAAAAAAGAAATAAATACTTTTTTTTAAGTGAGTTAAGGCCCCTTTGCCTTGGATCCCAAGTCTTGGAAACAGGCCCTGATGCCTTTAGAAAACCCCAAAGGGAACAGGGCCCTTCTGTGAAGTTGAGCTGGTGAAAAACCACCCTGATCTTCAAAACTGGGCAAACAGGGGTGTGTTTCTCAGGCCAAACTCTCGCCTTTGCCCTAGAAACTGGGCCACACCTATGGTTCTGACGGGCTGCACCTTGGGCTTCAGGTTCCAGATCCCACACTCCTCCCGGAGCCTGTTAAAACCCCACAGCAACCCCAGGAAGCCTCTGCAGGCCTTAGACAAAGCTCTGCCTCTCACTGGACATTATTCTTGACCTCGACCTTGCTTCTGCCCTGGGCCCCACTGTGGGTTTGGGATTTCCTAGTGGTCCCTATATCTCCCGAAAGGGACCCCTCACTGGATGCCCCATCAGCCTGCAGGTCCATGTACCAGACCTGGCCCTGGCTCTGCTGGTCCTGAGCTTAGCCCTGAGGATTAACTGGGTGCCCACATGCCATCTTGCCCACCCATGCTTCATACATGTCACAAGCCTCACCCTCTCTTGGGATGAACCAGCTCATCATCCCCTGGCCCCTGGCTGTTGGGAATGCCATCTCCATCTGGGAATGTGCCAGCCTCAGTTTCCTTCTCTGTACAGTAGGAGCCAAAAGCATTTTGTAGACCTCGGTGCAGATCAACCCTGCAACAAGGGGCAGAAGAGGCACCAAAGGGGCTTTGTGGCCAGCAACATGCCAGGCCGGTGCACCTTGTTGATGCAGTCGACACTGCAGGGGTGCGGGAGGCGAGGACCCATGCAGGGGTACCATCACAGGCCATAGGAGGGACAGCTCCAGGGACAGAGGCAAGGTCCACTCCACTCTGATGGTGAGGGGACAAGTCCATGGCCAAGCATCTTGGGAGCCATTATCTCTGCTACATGCCGTGCAGAGGTGCCCTCTGGCAACAGGTGCAGCTCTGGGCACAGCCAATGCAAACACAAGAGAAAGAGCCAGCCAGGAGGGAGCATCTGTCCAGGCAGGGAGACAAGGGAGTGGCGTCGGACAGGTGGGCCAGGCACATGTCCCCAGCAGGACCCCGCAGGAGGGAGCAAGGCTGGGGGAGGGATGGGGCACTGAGCAGCCCATGCTGGAACAGTCAGGAAACCTCCCAGGTGGGCATTTGAGCAGAGGCCCTGGCCAGTGGCAGGAGAGAGCCTGTGGGAAGAGTGAGACTTGGAGGGGCTGGGGGCTGTGCCCACCCGTTCCTTGCCCTGTGGTATCTTTGTCCAGCTTTGGAGCCCAAGGATCACTGGACTCAGACGATGCTGGGAAGCATTTTCTCCTCCCATCTTTTGGAAGCGTTTGTGAAGATTCGATAACTCCTCTTCAGATGTTTTGTAGAATTCAGCAGTGAAGCTGTCTGCAGGGCAGAGGCCTGTGAAAGGTGCCCTGGCATGTTCAAGGCACAATGATAAGGAGGTCAGTGCCCCTGGGGACAGAGGAGGGCAGCCGGCGGCGGGCAGCAGGCCTCATGCGGGTCCAGCAGGGTGCAGAGCCTGGAGGGTGCCGTGCAGAGGAAGTGACAGGGCCCAGCTGTGTAGCAAGGAAGCCCTCTGGCCCTGCCCCATGGTGTAAAGGCTCTCACGGGAGAGGAACAGAGGCGAGAGGGCAGGTGCTACCAGTGGCGTCCGCTCTTACCTGATTGCACACATGAGCTCATCAGGGTGGGCTCTGGGTCCCCTGGAGGAGTCAGGGTCAAATCCCAGCACTGGCCTGAGGTCAACTTGGAGAAAGACCATGTGTCTGGCGCCTCCCTCCTTCCCAGCCTCCTACCCCACCTGACCTCCACAACCCACCCCGCAACCCTGAGGACTGTCCCCATCCCCCCAGGGACTCCAGGGGGAGTGTGTTTTGTGCCGTGCAGAAAACAAGCCAGGCTCACTGCAAACCACGACAGCCCCTTCAAGCTGTCAGAGTCCCCGCATGTGGGGTGAGAAGGGGGAAAAAAGACAATTCACAATTGCAAATTGGAACTCCTCTCTCGGAGCAGAGCGATAATCCAGCTCGGGAGACAGATGGTGAGGAAGCGTTCCAGGAACGTGTTACAGCACATCGCTGCCTAGCAGAGAGAGGCTCCAGGAAGGACCCGTGCCTGCCATCGCAACCTTGGGGGGCTCCTGGAGGAACGCTGGGGACAAGGTGGCTGTCCTGTCACCTCGCTCTTGTCTCTGCTCCCACCTCTCCCCACTGTGAAGGATTCAGGACCACAGGCGCCCAGACACAAAGGCACAGAGCCACAGAAACATGAGCTCCATGCTGTGCAGCTGCTGGTGGGTGGGGCAGGGAGAGAGACCAGAGTCCCCTTCTCTGCTGCCTTTTAAATAAAAGACAAGGAGGACGGCGAGGACGAGGTCAAAACTCACTGTGGTCTATACCACGGCACAGATCCCGACTCAGGGTGGGGACGTGTGGGAGGGACAGAAGGAGAGGAAAAAACACAAGGAGGGCGGAGGAGGCCCCTCCGCTTCACGTGAACGGGAACAGGTGTGCGGGAACCCTGGCGTGTCTGGCGCCTGGCGTGGCAGGCTCCCATGCTGGATTCCACCAATGCTGCCAGCGAGGCCTCCCTCGCTCCCCAAATGCTGCTCTTTTCATGGGGGAAACAAAGATAGGGCAGACGCTGAATGAACCAATGTTTTTAAATGCCCACGGTGTCATTATTTCTTCCGGAAGTTCGTTCATTTACGTGATGATCTGAGGGCCTGTCACTCACTGAGGCCAGAGTGGACCCTCAGAGGCAGGTGGCAGTTCAGGGTCCAGGGCCTGAGGTGCAGGGATAGACAGAGCCTGACAAGGCCAGGACACAGTGCTCTGGGTCCAGGCTGGGGACAGGGGTGGCCAGGGCAGCAAAGGACAAGGAGACAGCCTGGCAGACACCAAACCCTGGACCGGGCTGGTCTCGGGGAAGTGCGGGTGTGGACAGAAAGAACGTTTCCTGCAGACAGAACGCAGGCTATGGCCAGGGGACAGCTCACGGTTCAGCCAGGTTACAGGGAATCCAGAAGATTCTATGGCCGAGTCCTTCCTGCAGACTGGAAAGCCTCAATAAGCTGCTAACAAAAAGCGTCAGCAAACCACCAAAACCCAAACACAGGCGTACGGATGCCATGGGCGGGGGGCGCCAGGGACAGCGAGCTGCTGGAAAATGGAGAAAGGAGAGGGTGGGCCACGGGGCTTCTGAGCGTGGACCGGCCCATTCCCCTTTCCCACTGGGCTTCAAGGCCAAGGGAGCATTGGTGCCCTGACCTGAAGTCAGTGAACACAAAAGCAATGACGATCCGAAAGGTTCTCAGGATCAAAGGCCCCTCCGTGAACTCTTCAATATTTTCAGCATAAATCCAATAAATGTCAGAGTTTTGGTTTTTCTTTCAAGACACCACCCGTTTCTCCCTATGGAAAAGGAAAATGATGACTCCTGCTAAAAAGGGAAAATTTAAAAACCCCTAAAATATCACCTGAGGTGCACGTTGAAGCTGTTCTGAGCCACGCTTGAATGTGAACGGAGCCAGCCTCTTCACCCTGCAGGAAGGTCTTGGAAAGAAAAAGCGAGGCCCAGGCTCCCCAGTGGCTACAGCTCTGGGCTGCGTGCCCCCCCGCCTCCTCTCCCAGCTGTGACTGCCTCGAAGGGCAGACCCCAACTCTTCCCATATGCTGAGCGGGAGGGGTCCTGGTGCCAAGGGCAGAGCAGCCCACTGGACCTCACGCCGCCCCCGCCCCCATCCCCAGCCTCCCCCTCCCACCTGGCACCCCTGCGCTCTGGGCACCGGAGCGACTTGAGTGCTGGCTGCCAGGGCCCTACAGGAAGCCACATCTGCTCATGGAACGCACAGGGCAGGCGTCGGAACAGCGCAGTGTCTGACGCGTCCTCCTGAGCAGGTGAGACTCAGTCACTGATTCATTCCTGTATTCACTGGTGGGTTGTGAAATTAATTTCGCAAATATTTACAGAGAGTATTCCAGGGTTCTTCAAAGGGAAGAAATAAAGATGTTAGCAGAGTTCCTGTTGAAGCTTCTCTCACTGCATCCTGGTATCACAGGGGCCTCAGCGCGACTTGGCAATGGGAGCTCCCACTTCCTCCAACCCAAAGACCCCAGCAGGCAGGAGAGTCCCCCTCCGCTACGGCAAAGATCAAAACGTCCCTTCATCTCTGTTGGTTTCCCGAAGCCACAAACTAGACAGCTTCAACAACAGAAACTTTTCCTCTCCCGGTCCTGGAGGCCAGAAGTCCACAAGCAAGGTGTGGGCGGGGCTGGGTCTTTCTGATGCCTCTCTCCTTGGCTCCCAGAAGGCTTTCGTTACTCGCTCTTCAGAAGCAATAAAAAAATTAAAATTTAAATTACAAAAGGCAGTCCCTTGGTGGGAGGGTTTCTGCCTTTCATCTGAATTCCATAATGAATAATTGATACGAAAGTTTTACTGGTGCCCAGCCCTCCACAATAAACAATCCCTGAGAACACGTGCAAATACTGGAGCTGCCGTCTCTCTCTGCTGGATTGGGCTGAAGGCCCGAATCAGATCTGAGCTGCTGCATTGCTTATTTGCAAAAAAACATAATCTTACTTTTATGTGCATTTTTCCAGGCATCTGTGGGTGACAAGTTGGAGAGGCCTGGGCAGCGGCGGCAGCTGCTGCTGTTGGATCCAGGAGGGAAGGGAGGTTCTGAGCTTCGGAGCGGGAAGCGAGGAGCCTCAGCTGTCTGTCTGCACCCTTTTGCCTGAGAAGCCTCAGCTGTCTGCACCCTTTTGCCTGCAACACAATGAGGAGAGGGACTAGGGGGAAGGAGCCACCTGGTTTCTGGGGCATAGGAGCCCTACGCAGCCATGGGTCCCGGGCAGAAAGACGTAGGGTGGTGTTGGAAACAGATGCTCGGTGCCACAAGGAAAAATCAGCACTGAGACAAAGGATCTTTCAGCAAAGTAATTTTTACTCTCTGGATTGCAGGAAGAGTGCTCTCACTAGCCACCTTGCCACTAGAGTACAAAAAACAAAGGAATACACACAAATTTATTTCTTACACATTTGAGGTTGTCCTTACTGCTGTGTCTGATCTCTGTTGACTGGAGTCAGACCTCACAATCTAAACTAAACCCCGATCAGCTATCAACTTAAAACTTTTCTAAACAGATAAAAGCAATGGAGAGCTGGGACATGCCTGTGAGCGCATCCAGCCCAGGTATCTTGATTACAGCACAAGGACATAGAGTGCACTACTGCCCGTAAGCACGGCACATCGAATGGTCACATAGGATAGGGCTTAACAAAGTTATTAACACACTTATGATTTATTCTTTAACAAGGAACCTTTATGAAGAAACTTTTTTACTTACCACAGGAGAGGGCAGAGGAGACCCCAGTTATTCAGTGTCAGGAGGGCGATCCAGAGTGCGACTTGGGGACAGGGAGATCCGGCTCGAGCCCTCCTCCTAGCCAGGTTATCTGGCCTCTCTGAGTCCTTGACCTTATTTGTAACATGGGAAAAAGAGAACCTGCCTTTCAGGACTGTCCTGGGAATGTACTGACCTGTTGTGGGCAGCGTGGCCATCACGTCACCCTTCACACCCAACAAACGCAACACAACTGACAGGCACGTGGCATGAGCATGCCCCTAGTGAGGACTGCTGTTTCTGATACTGCCGTTGCCATGGTGCCAGCGAGGCGGCTCCAGCCCAGCTGCAGCGTCCAGGGGCACAGCCCCAGCTTCCTGCCCTCGCTGCCCAGGGGTTCACGTGTCCTCAGCTTAATGTCTTCTTCATATTTTATGAAGTTTTTCCTTCGCGAATGCATCTCTTCTCACAGAGGCTTCGCCTGCGTGTGCCCAGTGGGAGTGTGGAGGCATCAGTCATCACCGCATCCTCCTGAGGGTTTCTCAGTCAGCCACTCTAGGCAGGTCCGGAGGGAGGGGATGGAGAAGATTCCAGACCCTGTATCTGCCTTTCCTGTCCCAGCCAGGTGAGTCTGCTGGTTTAGGGCTGCCAGGGACATAGGCATCAGCCCTGGCTCTGCTGTTGACCAGCTGTTTGACTTGGGGTAAGTTTCCTAACCTCTCTGCACCTGTTTCCTTACCTCTAAACTGAAGTGACTGTAACCCCTTCCCCAGGGGAAATCGAGAGGCTCCCAGATGGGACTGTGCACACGCAGCCTTGGCATTGTGCAGAAGTGGCACCATGTGTGCCCCCAAGAAATGCCAGTTGTCTTGTGCAGCTAGCTCAATCTGCAGGAGCAGGAAGGGAACCTGGGGTGGGAACTGCCCGCTGCCCACAGGGAAGTGCTGGAGGACCTGGGACAAGGCGTGGCTCTCCACCCCCTGCACCGTCCACTCCTGCCTAGTTCACAGCTTCATCAGCCACTGCGTCTGCCTTCTCCACTCCCTCCCTCCCTATAGGAACCAGTTTGGGATTTGGCCCCATCTCTGTACAACCCATGGACTTGGGAGGCTGAGTGCATCTCTCATTCTGGATGGATCCCAGCTATCCAATCACGTATGTCATCCTCCCTGCCAGGGATTATTTCAGCCAATCAGCACACAGACTCCTGCTGGTGACTCTAATAGGTCCAGGAGCAGGCACACGACCTAGGCTGGCCAATCAGAGAGGTGGAGACTTTCACTCCACCTGTCCTTCTCCCACCAGGTGTGAATGAGCAAGCTGGTCTCATTGTGGCAGGCAGGCAACCATCCTAAGGCAGCGAGGAAGGCTGCCTGAGGACATGGGAGGCAGAGTCAAGGGAACGGAGATGCAGCCCTGATCACATGGTGCCTGCAGCCCACCTTGCCTCAGAGCCTGTGCTCACATGAGGTAACAGATCTCTCTGGTTAAGCTATTTCAAGTTGAACCTTCTGCTACTAACTCTTAAGAAATGCCCCCACATGTAAAGTTAGAGGGTCTCCACTGTGGCTAGACATTGATGGTCTCTTCATATGACCAACCCCGGGAGAAATTCAAGTCAATAGAAGACCACACAATGAGATAAGGAAGTAAAAAGTTAATGACTAAATTAAGGTTATAACCAGAAGTTTAAGCTTCTTGAGAAGGGTCACCTCTTTTTGAAGACCCACAGAAAGTACTGTCAAATTCCATTCTAAGACAGCCATCGGCATCCTGGACCAGCCCCTGAAAAGAGTCTCACGGAGGTTCCTGTTGCACCATGACACCTGCCCACCAATAGGGCAGGACAGCAGCGTGGCCAAGAGCACCGCTGATCAGGCCGCGACTGGCGATTTTACCACTACCTAGTTCCATGGCCTCTGCAAAACTCAAGGACCTCATGTGGAAAAGTGTGTAATAACATCACCAGCTTATGCAAATCAACGCGAGGATTCTACAGATAAGAAAAATGAAGTTCTTAGCACTGCGTCTGGCATGTTGGGAGTGCTCAGTAAATGTTAGTGTTATTTTCTTGACATTTTCACCCTGATTAAATGATTAGGCAGAGACTAATGCTTCTGGCCAAGTAGAGTAATGGGGATTGGATGTGCCCTCCCGGCTGAACAACCAAAACAAACAAACAAAAACAAAAGTGTGAGGCAGTGGTTTTCAGGCCATGAGACCCCAGACAGCAAAGGACAGGTACTCCTCAGAGGAGGAAAACTAGCAAGGTGAACCCCAAGGTCGCCGGAGCTTCTCCTATGGGGTGAGCTTCCAGGCTGCAGTGCAGGGATGGGGAACCCAGGTTGAGACCAGTGGAGTCCCTGAGTGGAGGAGCCAGAGCCAAGTCCAGAGAAGCCAAGGCAGGAAGGTTCATAGGACATCACAGGAGAGAGCTGCACAGAGGGCTCTGGAGACACGCAGAGGGCCCCCTCCAGGCACTCAGCAAAGCAACAATTAGTGCATGTAGGCAAAGAAATGACTCAAGGCTGGGCGAAGAAGCACCCAACAAGATTGGAGGCAGCAGCTCACCGTGCTCACACAGAGATGGGAGTCATTACTGCCCCCAACAGCCAGACTGGCAAATCTTAGAATTCACATGGCATTGGGTAGAGTACTCAGAATGGTCTCACCTCCATCATAGGAAATCATTATCCCTAGGCCAAACACTGATTTGAAATTTTTTAAAGCAAGCTCTGAATAGATCAATGTTCCCAAGAAACTTAACTGCATCCCAGAACAAAGCTCAAGAACACTTTAGAAACAATCACAGCAACAACAAAAATCTAGCAACCAATGATATAAAATGTCAGTGTCGGCCAGGCACGATGGCTCCTGCCTGTAATCCCAGCACTTTGGGTGGCCGAAGCAGGTGGATCACTTGAGGCCAGGGATTCAAGACCAGCCTAGCCAACATGGTGAAACCCTGGCTTTACTGAAAATACGAAAATTATCCAGGCGTGGTGGTGCGCACATGTAATCCCACCTACGCAGGAGGCTGAGGCAGAGAATCACTTGAACCTGGGAGGTGGAGGCTGCAGTGAGCTGAGATTGTGCCACTGCATTCCAGCCTGGGTGACAAGGCAAGACTCCATCTCAAAAAATAAATAAATAAAATGTCAGTGTCTGACATCCAATCAAAACATTCTACCACACATGCAAAGAAGCATGAAAGCATGACCCATGGTAAGAAGAAAGGTAAAACTGACTCAGAACCGCCATAGATGCTAGAACTGGCAGACAAGAACACTTAAAAAGTTATTGCAACTTCATTCCATGTGTTCAAAAAGTTAGAGATGGAAAATATGCAAAGACCCAAATCGAACTTGAGATGTGAACACTACAGTATCCGATGTGAAAAATGCATTGGTCTGGGTGCAGTGGCTCACGCCTGTAATCCCAGCACTTTGGGAGGCCAAGGCAGGAGGATCACTTGAGCCCAGGAGTTTGAGATCAGCCTAGACAACATGATAAAACCCCATCGCTACAAAAAAAAAAAAATACAAAAATTAGCTAGGCATGGTGGTGGGTGCCTGTGGTTCCAGCCGCTCAGGAGGCTGACATGGGAGGATCACTTGAGCCCACGGAGGTTGAGGATGAGTGATTTTGCCACTGCACTCCAGCCTGGGCAACAGATTGCGACCATCTCAAAAAAGAAAATGGGCCAGGTGCAGTGGCTCACGCCCGTAATCCCAGCACTTTGGGAGGCCAAGGTGGGTAGATCACTTGAGATCACGAATTCAAGACTGGCCTGGCCAACATGGCAAAACCCCATCTCTACTAAAAATAGAAAAACAAAAATAACCAGGCATGGTGGCAGGTGCCTGTAGTCTCAGCTACTCAGGAGGCTGAGGCAGGAGAATCATTTGAACTGGGGAGGCAGAGGTTGCAGTGAGCTGAGATGGCACCACTGCACTCCAGCCTGGGCAACAGAGCAAGACTTTGTCTCAAAAAAAAAAAAAAAGAAAAGAAAAATGCATTGGGCAGAATTAATAGCAAATTAGACAATGCAGAAGGATAGATCAGTGAACATAAGAACATAGTAATATAAAATATCCAAAACAAAACACAAAGAGAAAAAATAATTTTTTTTTTTTTTGAGACGGAGTTTCACTCATCTTACCCAGGCTGGAGTGCAATGGCGCGATCTCGGCTCACCGCAACCTCCGCCTCCTGGGTTCAAGCAATTCTCCTGCCTCAGCCTCCTGAGTAGCTGGGATTACAGGCACGCACCACCATGCCCAGCTAATTTTTTTTGTATTTTTAGTAGAGACGGGGTTTCACCATGTTGACCAGGATGGTCTCGATCTCTTGACCTCGTGATCCACCCGCCTCGGCCTCCCAAAGTGCTGGGATTACAGGCTTGAGCCACTGCGCCCGGCGAGAAAAAATAATTTTTAAAAAATCACAGAGAATTAGTGGGTTTGGAAATAATATCAAGCAGCCTAACATACATTTAATTGGAATCTCCAAAGGAGAGGGAGAACAGAAATACTATTTGAAGAAATAATGACTGAAAATATTTCAAATTTGACAGAAAGCAGAAACCAACCAATTCAAGAAGCTCAATGAACTTCAAACACAAGAAACATAAAGGCACATCCTAATCAAACTGCCTATCCCCAGTAAGAAGGAGAATATCCCGAAAGCAGCCTGAGGAAAAAGACATGTGGCATACAGAGAAAGAAAGATGAAAACGACAGCAGATTTCTTAGGGGAAACGATTCAAGCAAGAAGACAATGGATCAACACCTTTAAAGTACTAAAGAAAGAAAAACTGCCAACCTATGCAGTGAGCCAAGATCACGCCACTGCACTCCAGACTGGGCAACGAAGCAAGACTCTGTCTCAAAAAAGAAAAAAAAAGCTGTCAACCTATAATTCTGTACAGTGAAATTATCTTTTAGGAGAAATGTGTTGCTAGCTTTCAGATGGAGTGGAGGGAGCAGAGAGAGGCCACTTATTCCTGGGAGGGTCTTCTGCAGAAGCTGAGCGTAGGGAGTCACCCAGTGACAGCTCCATGGGCAGATGTTAGAGGAACCTCTGGAAGAATGGAATGGCCCAGGCTGGAAATGGGCTGGACTCTGAGACCAAGGCGATTGCCAGTCCTCTTTCTTGTGGGGAAGGAATTGGAGCCTGCATGGGTAGAGGTCCACTGCGGCCTCACCCTTGGGGCAGGAGGGAGTGGTCCCTGCACCCAGTGTTGCCCACAGAGCCACAGGACACTGGTCCACTCTCCAGGTGAGCTGGGGCCACAGAGCCTGGTGGCCATCTGGACCATGCGGCTAACAAGTCACCTCTGCCTCCTGGGATGGAAAATGCCCTCGGGGACATTCTCTACTCTGCCCTGCAAGAGCCGGGCTCCCAGAGGGGGGCAGCCCGGGTTCAAATCCCAGCCCTGCGTTTTGCCGGCTTCGTGACCTGGGGCAAATCTCAGCCTCTTTCTGTGACAGTCAAGTGGGAATGGCAGTGCATGTGTCACCAGGCTGTCTGAGCCCTTGAAGCACCTTGGACACTGTGTGGCACCTAGAACCCCACAGCCCACTGGCTGTGAAGAACAACGGACCTGGATGCGGCTCCTCAACCCCAAAGGTGATGCTCAAATCCCAGCCAGCTCCCCACGCACACCAACCGCCACGGGGCTGCTGTGACACTGAGGGGCTCCAGCAACAGAAGTCTGTCCTCTCCCAGCCCTGAGGCCAGAAGTCCGGGGTCCAGGCATAGGCAGGGCTGCTCCCTCCTGAGGCAGGAGGGAGAGGCTGCCCCGGGCCCCTCTCCAGCTCCTGGGGCTGCTGGCAACGGCGGCTCATAGAGGCATCGCCGCAGTTTCTGCCTCCATCTTCACTCAGCACCCTCCCTGTGTGTGGAGTGTGTGTGTGTGTGTGTGTGTGTGTGTGTGTGTGCACGCGTGTGGGGGGGGTGT